GTACAGGTAAAGAACCAAAAGTATGTAGTGAGGAGGAGGGCGGAGACGCTCCCTTCACTAGTACAGTAGAAAGTTAGCTTTCACCGGGAGCACTCAGCTAACTGGATGATAGTACAGGTAAAGAACCAAAAGTATGTAGTGAGGAGGAGGGCGGAGACGCTCTCTTCACTAGCGCAGTAAAAAGTTAGCTTTCAGCGGGAGCACTCAGCTAACTGGATGATAGTACAGGTAACAGTAACAAATTAGCGAGAGCCCTCGGTTAATTTGTACACAATTATCTCATTAGTTTGAGAGTATATAGATATAGCACAATCAGCAATAATTGGTAGCGATCTCACCGGCTGTGTGCAGGAGCGTCCGCTCTTTACCGGTCCGGAGCTCCTGGGGTCCGGGCGGTGAACACCGCGGTCCTCTCCCTTGGGAGGACGGACAGCTCGTCGCAGCCTTTGGAGGGCGAGCGTTTTTCCTAGCCCGCAGCTCCGATCAAACGATCGCAAGGCTACAGGTAGCGATGAGCTAGAATCCCAATTTTCAGTAAGCTTAGCTTGGCTTCTACTCATAAGTAGTAACCTACGCAGCGAGAAGATGAAAAAGGACTGAGCCCGTTGACAGCACCGGAACTTATACCTTCCGGTGTCATACGGGGTCACACGTGACTTTGTTGATATAAATATTCGACCTACGCATGCGCGAGACAGAAGATATCCAGTGCTAAAGCACCGCCTCTGGCGGTCAGTAAGTATGAAATAGAACAGTCAGAAATAGCTTTAACGAAAAGAAAAAGAAGAGCTAGAGAAAATAATTCAAACCCTGCTTATTTTTGTATCCCCACAAAACTGGCCAGAGGCTGTGAATGTTGCAGAATTGGTTTTGAAAACAAGTCAAGCCGACACAGCCCCCCCTAATGAGAGGGTGTAGCCAGGGAGTAATGGATTATATTTAACGGGATTACATAGTCAGGATACCAAAAGAATACAACTGTATTCCCTTACAGTTACATAAAAAAGAAATCATCAGATTACTGTTACTCTTCTATATTTTTGGGATTACTAGCAGGATTGCAATGTTAAAAAAGGGTATAATACTGCTGCGTTTAGAACTCTGTCCTGTCAGAGCCGTTGTGTGAATGGATGGGGGGTCAGCTCAGTTAACCTCTAACAGCTGGGCTTCATACAGCTGCTGGGGGGGGGGGGGTGCTGCAGGTAGTGAGAATAATGGCCTTGCTCTGTATACAATGTCACACTGTCATACTCTCATAGGACTAAACTAATATACTGTAGCTGTAAAATAAACTGATGGTTGAGTGAGAATGGCATAAATGAGAAATCTGTGCTGTACCAGTGGTGCAGTGGCAGATTAGATCAGATTCAACTTAATTGTCATTGCACAACAAAATGCAGTTCTCATCCAACCAAGTGCACAGAGTACATAACATGCATGAGGTTACAGTATATTCACATATACAGTAAGGTTCACAGTAGTTACAAATGGGGGGCAATACAAAGACATATTGGTATAAATAAAGCCTATATAAGTAAGGTGCCGGGTTTATGCATATATAGGTTGAAATAAATATTAAAAACAGTTGCAATAGATATGTGCACAAGGCAATGTAAGGTCTCTGAGTGTGATGCACTGTGGGTTGAAGCGACATGAATATGTATGGGGCGTCTGCCCACTGTGCATTCTTTAACTTTGGTTTTTCAACAACTTTATTGTCATTGTAATGGCACAACAAATGTATTTGCTGCTGGTCCCTCAGGTGCAACATATATACATTTAAAATAACAAATGGGACGGAAAGAAATGAAACAACCATTACAAATGTAATAGAGAGACATAACAAGCTATACAGCTACATAAAGCCTCCCTGATGGAAGCAGGGCCAACAGTCTGTAGTTTGGGTGTGAGGGGTCCTTGATGAAGTAACCTGTTGTTACTCCTCAGGAAGAACCAAACTCTGGAAATGCATCTGAATAACAATTCTTGGGTTGTGTCCACATGGTTGAATGCAGTTTTTGTGGTTTTATATAAACGTATTAACTAGTCAAATGTAATCTAATGATTGCTTCCTTTAATACAACTTGAAAGCATAATTTCATGTATAAGTAGCAGTGGTGAAAGGTTACTAAGTATATTTACTCAAACACTGTACTTAAAGGGACCTTTTATGGTCGTTTTCAGGTTCATATTTGCAAGAATAGGGCCTCTTTAAGTACAACTTTCAGTGACTTGTACTCTACTTGAGTATTTCCATTGTATGCTACCTATACATGTACTCCACAACAATGATTGGGCAAATATTGCCCTTTTTACTCTACTACATTTATATAAAGCAATATCAGTTCCTTTGGACCTTTATGTTATTAATAAAACATGGTAATCACCTAAATGAATTATGATGTACAATTAGGAATTAAGATACCTAGCAGTACAAAAGTCACAAAAGTTTGCAAAAACTTTTCTTGATGCGACTTAAAATGAACACATTAATGCATCACTTTAATCCAGTGATATAATAAATATTGTTCCACATTTTATTTTTTATTAGTTCTTTAAGATTTGGTAAGTTTATTTGGATGCTAATGCTTTTTTACTTTTAAAATGTTAAATGCAGCACTTTTACTTGTAACAGAGTATTTCTACACTGCAGTATTGCTACTTTTACCTAAGCCAAAGTACTCCTACCAACAGTGATTAGTAGTGTTTTCTACAACAAAGGTCTCTGAGCTCCATGGTGTTACTACACACACGTGAAAGGCGGTCAGACGTAGTAATCTTGTGCCCCTGGTAACCTGCTGCTGGTGCTAATAGCAAAGCTCACAGCTTGATGAGCAGCGGGGGGGCAGGGCTCTGTGGAAGACGGGTGGCAGGAGAATCAGATGACCTTCCTCCACTCTGAGTTTTAGAGCTAAAACCTCTGTTGGACCTGAGAAGGCAGCTGGTTCAGAGATTATGGACTAACACAATTACCCATTTCCTGTATCAGGCAACAGGCCACCTGATGTGATCGACTGCACCACTCCACTTGAGCTCCACCTGAGCTCCGTCTGTCTCAGATGATGGAGTGGAGCAGTGATGAGCCTCGACAGAAAGCAGAAGGATTTTTCAATTTGATTTTGGAATATTGCAGAAGATAAGCTCTGTGGCAAACACAGTTGTGTGACACTTACATGTTTTGTTCAGCAGTATATTATATTAACACCACGTTATTTTACTTTATGAGGCGTAAATTACGAGAAGAAGAAAAGCTAACTTTGGGCTATGAGGGAAGTACATCATGGGAGCATGGCTGTGAATCACCAACACTAGCTAAAGGCGGCTAATGTTTGTTGGTTGACGTTTAGTTTGTTTAATGAGTATAGTTGATACAGTTATGTATACAACTTCCCCACACTTTTATGAACATATGTACTATGTTCTGTTGTGTAATGGAAACTATTGTTTAATTTCTGGGTATTTGGAGGTGTGCAGAACTATTGTTTTAATGTTGGAATGAGGTAACGTGCATGAACACAGAGTGAGGAAAACAAGTCCAGGAAAGAACAAATTTAGAATTTCTTTTAAAAAGCAGGGTTTTTTGTTTATTCATGCAATACAAATAATTTGAATCTACTTGTTTCTAGTTTTATGTCTCCTTTGTTTGACATCAAGAAATCTATTCAATATACCTAAATTAAGCTTTTGGGGACACCCTGACCTAAAGTGGTTTTAACTGTTCCCATGACGACTAGGGAGCTTAATTGGAGGTCTTCACTGGTCATCTGCGACAAATAAAGGTTATTTTTTGCACAACGCAGCAAGCAGGAATGTGTGTGTGTGTGTGTTTTGTGTGTGTATGTGATCTGTGTTCTATTAGGTATTATTTCTCAGTAAGGTTGAAAGTAAATTATGTGTGTGTGTATTGTGTGTTTTCCCCCCAGGTCGCACTAATATATTTAAAAAAAGCTTAAATGTAATAAATATCTCATTCATCTTTCTTTATATAATTAGCATCAAATCGTCGTTGCCTTGCTAATACATCTTTTGCCTTTAAGGTTTTCTGAAGAATCTTTAGTAAAGAAAACAAATGCTGAAAATTACCACAATTCATTTAGAACTCATTAAAGACCCTAGGGTCTGGGAAGACCTCACATGGAGGGGCAGAGTGTTCCAGAGCCTAGGGCCAGCTGCTGCGAAGGCTCGGGTTTTAAGCCTGGTCTTGGGCACTACCAGCAGCAGCTGGTCAGCCGACCTTAAGGCTCTGGCTGGGGTGTAGCGCTGGAGGAGTTCAGCTATATAGGCGGGAGGCGTGTGGCGCAGTGGGTAGAGCCTTGGTGTTGGGAACAGGTTCAAACCCCACTGCAGTCAGCATGTCGTTGTGTCCCTGGGCAAGACACTTCACCCCAAATTGCTCCTGTGGGGATTGTCCACAGTATTGAGTATGTAAGTCGCTTTGGATAAAGCGTCTAACAAGTAACATGTAAAAAAAAATATATATAGGCAGGAGCCAGCCCATTTAGTGCTTTAAAAACAAATAAAAGGATTTTAAAATCAATTCGGAACCGAATTGGAAGCCAGTGTAGTGAGGCCAGAATTGGGGTGATGTGGTCACGCTTTTTGTGGCCAGTCAGAAGACGTGCAGCTGCGTTTTGGACTAGCTGCAGGCGCTTAATTGAGGCCTGGTCCATACCCACGTATAGAGCATTGCAGTAATCCAGTCTCGAGGTTACAAAGGCGTTAATAACCCTTTCTAAGTCTTTAAAAGATAAATACGACTTGGTTTTGGCCAATAGTCTTATTTAAAAAAAGCAGGATTTTACTACGGTGCTGACCTGCTTGTCGAATTTAAAAGTGCTTAAAAGTAAACAACATATGTTCTATTTTCAAATGATAACTAGTGATATTGAAATGGCAATGATTCATGTTTTATTGTGACTGGTTCCTGCTGTATTTGGAGCGTTAGGAGCTCCATGATATGATTTAATGTCCTGTTCCTCTCTGTTTCCCCCCCGCTGCAGCTCCACTCAGACATGGACCATGGAGACAGCGCAGTGAAGTACACTCTGTCAGGAGAGGGGGCGGGGTCTATCTTCAACATTGACCAGATCACAGGAGATATCCATGCTCTGGTGGGGCTGGACAGGTCAGTGCCCGTCTATAATGATAACAATGCAGTAATAATGTAGGTAATAGAGCGGTGCAGTAATGAGTCACACAACCCAGAAATGAGTTAGTATTTTACGACCTCTGTTTCCCTCGTCTCAAAGTCAATGGTTTTTAATGTGGGTGTGGTTAGACACCTGCAATAAGGTCTGTGGTTAACACAAGCTGAAGAGATGTTCACATTTTGTTCTACGACAATAAATATGTAATTACACCACTCGTTCAAAGCTTCCATGTGACTTAAAAACAGAGGCTAAATGACACTACTTAACGTCATCACGCCAAAGATGAGCCACCTTTAGCTTAGCGGTGGTTAAATAAAGTCATCTCACCGTGATGTAGTTTGTTTATAGCCCAACTTTAGCTATTTACTTCTGCAGATTCAAAAATCACTAAGTGGTGTAAATATGAGGAGTTTAATCTGCTAAACTTAATGTGAAAAGTATCTTAAACATGTGTTGCCCACATATCATTTTTCTACAAATCCAATGGGAAAAGCTCACTGCTTTTTGTCGAGGGAGCCCTTGTGATGCTAACATCAGATTCAGCTTTCAAAAATATGTAATCGCCGCAGCACTCCATGCGGTACCACATATAACCCCTCTTCAAACATACAGTACAAACTATCCCTTGAATTCAAGCAGAACATCATCATCGGACCCTTATTGCTCAGAATAAAAAGCAAGCTATCTAAAAGAGAGAAACATACATGAATGGCCATGTAGGTGAACTGACATGTGTGTACTCTATTGAACCAATTACTGACTTTAGGGGAAATACTGAGAGCTTTATATAGTTCTAATGGACTATTCACATGTGATATAACGCTGATCTAAAGTGTTTCCAATTAAAATTATAGTTAAATGTTCAATTATTATTTTTATTTTTTTATTATGGGAATGTCTGTTTTCTTTAGTTATACTTCGTGCAGCATTTTCACTTTATAAATAAAAGTAAATGCAATGGTCCTGCTGTCTTAAACACAAGAAAAACCATACATATTTAAATAAAGAAAATAGGCCTGAACAAGAGAAAACTAATTTAAACAAAAGATGTAACGAAATTAAAATTAAATTAAAATCTAACTTGGGTTGCCCAAAGGTTTCTGTTACATAATAATTGGTTGAACAGAATGGGAAATGTGCCTCATCGGTGTCTTCCCCTTTTTTGGCTGTGGGACTTGTAGTCCTATATTTTCTATGGAATACACAGGTCAGCACTAGGTGTTTATATTATCTACACACACAAAAGGAAGCTGTCTCTAACATAATGTACTAAGATCTCTGTTAGCACTTTGGGAAAAAACACACAGTTCCATTATTCATGCTAACGTAGCACTCGGTATCATCTGTCGAAAGGCTTCCTCCGGTTCAACGTTATGTCACCCAGCAAACGTTCCTCGTACATCACTTGATGTACTCTAATGTGAAGGCATAGTTGTACAGTTTACCTTACAAATTGTATTGACTTACTGTAATAGGAGCTACATTTAAATTACTAGCATGTGTATCATGTATAGCTAACCTTGCCATTCTTTCACATTGAGGTCATTTAGCCAGCTGGTGTAATAGAGCTAACATCAGCTCTTGTTAATAGAGCGTTCTTTTATGTAATAACTGTCGACAGCTGCTGTATAATTCATGATCCGGAGTAGAGGCAGAAAACACACAGCGCGCCATCAAATGACCAAGTCATCTCTTATCAGTGTCCTTAATTACTGTTTTAAAGTCCTGAAACCCACATGGGTAAGAATAATTACATTTACTTAACAGAAGTGTGTGTATGGTTAGTGTCGTTAGTTTTCAGTGAACAAAGTCTCTCTATTGGACATCAACATTGGTGCATTTTTTAAATATGTGATATTTTACAGGGAGGTAAAGTCGTACTACACACTGAAGGCCCAGGCGGTTGACATGCACACAGGCCTCCCTCTGGAGCCTCAGTCTGAGTTCATCATCAAGGTGCAGGACATCAACGACAACGAGCCACGGTTTCCCGACGCTCCCTACAGCGCAAACGTTCCCGAGATGTCTCCAACAGGTGGGACATGAAGCCTCTCTGAACATATGTTACCTTACCATCTGCATAAAACAAACATTTAATGATGTTAGTCAATGTCCAAATAGAAGGACTGTAGCCAACTGTACTTACGTACTTGGTACAGCAACTAAACTTCAAATAAATGATGACGCCAAGAGGCTAAACATGGCTCATTGCTGTGGTGTGTTCCAAAAAATAGTCTGTGCCGAATTAAAAGTTTCACTATTTTAAATACATTTTATCCACACACATTTGACAATTGCCACAAGTTACCAATTACAAATGTGTGAAGCATTTTGGCTCTGACACTTGGTATTAGACCTGATCATCAAAACTGGAATGAATTGATCTAGAATACATCCAGCATCCAGAGTACACTCTTGTTTGGTTACCTCAGATAATATATTTGGAATAAGGTTCAGTGTCTAGATGGTGTAAACATGTTTGTGGACCTGCTTCTTCTCCCTTCTCGTGGTTTCCTTGCGTCTCTCCATGCTTCCCTGGTGGGAGGGACTAAGACGCAAGGAAAAGACGCAAGTGACGGACGCAAGGATGGAAGTTAAGAGAACTGAGACGCAGCTCATGTTCCCTTTAGTGTTGACTTCCTGTCTGTCTTCTTCTGCTGTTCCTGTTAGTGTTTACTTCCTGTCTTCTTCTGCTGTTCCCTTTAATGGTAACTTCCTGTCTGTCTTTTCTCTTGATTTCTCTCACATCCTTTAATGGGGACAGTATAGCCATCATGATTCCAACGTTTTGTGCTCTCCACAATTGTAAAAATTAATATCTAAAAAGTATTCCACAGTGTTTTCTGACGGATGAAAACTAATGTGTGTTGTCCACAGCTGATGTTACATTTACCAGACGTCTTTCTGCGGATTGATATCACTGCACATAGTCTCTTCGTTTTTATTACGAAAAAATAACAGACCTCTGGATTGTCCAAATTGACCAATCAGAATCAAGTATTCAATTTAGCCATGTAACAAGACACTAGACAGATTTTAGTTTTAAGACTTGAGGCCTGTACTACGAAGCCGGATTTTCGCTTAGCGGGCTAACTTCAGGGAAAACTCGGGGTTTCCGGTCCTACGACGCTGGTTCTCTTTTTAGCGGGCTAGATCTCCATGGTAACTTATGCTGAGCGGCTAACCTGCTCCGGAGCAGGTTAGGTTGCAGGCTAAGAGATCAACTCAGTGAAAGCACCGCCTGCTGACCAATCAGAGCTCCGTGTGCGGAGTTTAAAGCTATCAAGTCATATTACAGGATAGAGGAAATACAGAAAAACTGCCGTTGCAGGAAAGACGGCCGGCAAAAATCAACTGACTGTGTGAACGTGAAAATGAATAGAATATCCCCTCCCATCTTCAGAGCAATCTGACTATTATAACATTAGCGTTAAGAAAGCTTACTTAAATATCTGCCACAACATAAGTAACCGGATCAGAGTAACATTAAGTACAGTCCGCGGCACTGTGAGTGCAGACGTCGATGTGTCCCATTATCATTCATATCATATCACATCATAATGTATCATATATTTCCTTATTTGAGTCAGCTTCTTGAGCCGTATCTGGCCGTACAACACTTACAGTGTCACATACTGTATGCAGAAGTATTATTTTAAGCAACACATTAAGTTGACGAAACACTCGAGTCAAATGTAATTAAAGTCAGATCCACTCGTGTCTTGGACGGGGCAGTGATATCATAAACCTGTTAATTATACGCATTCAAACGCTTTTTCTTTTACCAGCTGTATTCACCTTGCAGGTGCAGCTATGTGGCTTTTATCCTGGATAAAGTGTTTAAGTCATGGATGTTTAAAGTTTAACTTCTTCATATTTGACTAATATTAAAGTTCACTTTTCATTCAGGAAGTATGACACTGCGCTGTCAGTACGCTTGTCCATGTTTGTGATTGGTCGAATGCTCCAAATACCACCCCTTTCATGTGAACGCGCACCTAACTAGATAGGACACGGCTGGCTTGAGCGATCCACTTGATAACCAGCGTCGTAGGACCGCTTAGCGAGAGCGCGTATGTTTTGGATTAGGCCAACCGGCTAACTCAAACATATCCAGGTTATGTTGAACCGGCTTCGTAGTACAGGCCTCTGATCACATTCAAGGAAAATGCTAAATGACTCCAGTAAGTTATTATGAGTAAATCAGGTTGACCATTTTCTCAAATCTGTCTAGTAGATCTTGTTATTAAAAAATGAAAACCAAAAGTGGCCTGAATGTGCACCCTGGCATAATTCAAAAAGTAGCAAAACACATTAGCATTCATGTCCTGGGGCCAGCAAATGTCCACAGCAACTTCCAAATCAGAACTTTGCTGTGCAAAAGTACGAAAACGTTTGACACCAGAGGAAGTAGAAGCATTAGCTGTTGTCAGAATATGTTTTTGCAATGGTAGCATTAGATAAAAGGTCAGAGGGTCACCAAGAGCATTAGAGTGTATTCCTTGGGTCATGAATATAATACGTATCGTGGCATCTGGCCGGTATTAGTTGTGGTATAATACTTCAGCATGTGTTAGATGGACTAAAGAGATCACATCATCGTTCTGATGGAAATATTGTGAACAATGAAAAATCTAACTGCACAACATTTGAAAGTGGATGGACTTTTTTCATGTTTTGAAAGTAAAAAGAGCTAAAGAAATGTCATCTGATTTTGGTTTGTCTGACAAAAATAACGTCAGACAGAATCGTGTTTCCTTAGGGTAAGGGTTAGTAGTTCAGGAGGATAAATTAAGTTATATCTACACACACACACACACACACACACACACACACACACACACACACACACACACACACACACACACACACACACACACACACACACACACACACACACACACACACACACACACACACAGTGCACTAAGCCAGACTTAGTGGGCCATCTGTCTGCTAAATGCCATTACTGAGAGGTAATTTAACAGTCAAGGTCTTTAGGCTTTAAGCTGTTAATGCTTCAGCTGAGGCCCAAAGTGCTCTAAGAGAACAGAGTGTGACCCCAGTGTGTCTCTGTTGCAGTGGAATAGAGAAACAAACTCTATAGCAGATTAGCTGAGGTAGCAAACAGAACCCGAATCCATAAAACATAATCCTATGAGGAATCGTCTGCTAAGAATAAATGCAGACAAACATATTTCTCTTTTCCTGACTTATATAGCACTAGAATAAATGCTGCTCCAAAAACAAGTAAAAAATCATAAAAACACTCTTTTCGCCTGAAATAAGTAAGAAAAATGTGAAAATGTGCTTGGTAAGATTTATAAGATGGGATATTTATATCAGATCTTGCAATTAGCTTGGAAAACTTATTTTGAACTAACTACTTGTTACAAAATAAGCCACAAAGGCTCAAAAGTTTTCAGTTTTCTGATGTTCAAAAAATGTTCATCTGAGATACAACTGAAAATAAGACCCTTTCAAGAGTGTTTGACTTAAAAAGATACTCAAGACCCTATATCTCACTGCATTGTTTCTCCTTAAAGGGGACCTATCATGCAAAATGCACTTTTTGATGTCTTTTATACATAAATATGTGTCCCCGGTGTGTCAGGGAACTCACGCAGCGTCAGAAAATAAAACCCTCTCTCTTTTCCTCCGCACCCAAATCTAAAAAAACAGGGGTACAACGGAGCTGATCCAGATTGACGTAATATCGGAAATGTGGACCCGCAGTGTCAGTACCATATGTGTTCGGCCTACCATATGTGTTCGGGGTCCGTCGCTTACCAATGACGTCACGCATTGTGATTGGCTGTACGGTAATCGCACGCTGATTGGTGTAACTAGGGGCGCTGACTAGGGTATACGGGGTCTGATCAAAGGATGAAGCTGTTAATGTGCTGCTACCATAAACTGGCTGTAGCCCACAAACTGAAGCAGAATGATCTAGGGCTGTCCCGAATACCATTTTTCGGGCTCCGGATATTCGGTAGTAATGCGGGGGGGCGTAGTAATCAGCAGCGAACTGCTTCAACACGTCTATTTCGGTGTATTCACGGCATTCATTTTGTTATTCTACAGTATTGTTGTTTTATAGTTATTTGTTAATGTAACCCAATTTGTGTTCTTTGAAATTGAAAAGGATATTGCATTGTGTTTGGTACTTTCGTTGCAGTTGTATACGTCTTAAGTGTAATTTGGCTTGGTTTCCTATTTATGGACATGCTTTTATTTTGAAGGAGAGTTAGCGCACTTGACAGGAAGTTGTTGTTGCTTTGGAAACAACGTGACAGAGTTTAACGGAGAAAAGTAATATCTACATATAAAGACGGAGAAAGTAAACGATAACGTTTATGGTTAAGTGTTAGCACCCCCCGAAGAGGCACAAGCTCTTACGCTGATATTGGAGATTTCAATAAATTCAATTTGAAAAAAAACGGGGAAAAAACAAACAAAACGAATATCCGAATAACGAAATTGAAACCCGAAATAGTACTCCAACGAACGGATATTCGGATATTCGGGTACAGTAGGGCTGTACCCGAATACTATAATAAAGTTATAGTAAATAATAACAAACTCCAGTGTTAGAATTCCATAATTCCATATTCATAAATAAAATGATATGCAAATAACATTTTCTTGGCTGTGGACTTGTACTATACATAATTATGTTGAGCTCATGGTAATCTAATTCAATAAACAATAACTGCAATGAACAGATAGCATTTTCTGACTCGTAAAATGATTGGATATAGTGTAATTTGGTAAATGATTCTGTGTTGAAAAATGTATATCTTTAAAAACTGCGTTGGTGTATTAGGGCGGGCCATACTATTTTTTTGTAAATCGATCGAGAGGGGTGTTCAAATAACGTATTTTGGTGTGTAGAACACACATCTATTTAGATTTATTTATTTTGAAGTTGTTGCTATGGAAACAACATGACGGAGAAAAAAGTAATATCTTCTACATATAATAACGGACAAAGTAAAGAATGAAGTGTATGTTTAAATGTTAGCACCCCCCGAA